GAATCTGTTTCTCCCTTTTTTATTCCATCTTCATCATCAATCCTTCCCTTCCTCCATCCTCCTCCTCTCGTCTTCCTCTTCCTGTCCTCTCTTCCTCATCCTCCTCCTCTTGTCTTCCTCTTCCTGTCCTCTCTTCCTCCACCTCTCGTCTTTTTTTTTTTCTTTCTCTTATCTTCTTTCCTCTCTTCTCATACTCCATCCTCTTGTCTTCCTCTTCCTGTCCTCTCTCCTCCATCTCCTCTGTCTTCCTCTTCCTGTCTCTCTTCCTCCTCCTCTTTCTTTTTCTTTCCTCTCTTCCTCCATCCTCCTCCTCTCGTCTTCCTCTTCCTGTCCTCTCTTCCTCCATCCTCCTCCTCTCGTCTTCCTCTTCCTGTCCTCTCTTCCTCCATCCTCTCGTCTTCCTCTTCCTGTCCTCTCTTCCTCCATCCTCCTCCTCTCGTCTTCCTCTTCCTGTCCTCTCTTCCTCCATCCTCCTCCTCTCGTCTTCCTCTTCCTGTCCTCTCTTCCTCATCCTCCTCCTCTCGTCTTCCTCTTCCTGTCCTCTCTTCCTCATCCTCCTCCTCTTGTCTTCCTCTTCCTGTCCTCTCTTCCTCCATCCTCTCTCTTCCTCTTCCTTCTTTTTCTCATCCTCCTTCTCTATTTCTTTCCTTTTCTTTCTCTTTTTTTCTTCTTTTCCTCCTCCATCCTCTTGTCTTCCTCTTCCTGTCCTCTCTCCTCATCTCCTCTCGTCTTCCTCTTCTTGTCCTCTCTTCCTCCATCCTCCTCCTCTCGTCTTCCTCTTCCTGTCCTCTCTTCCTCCATCCTCTTTCTTCCTTTTTTCCTCTCTTCCTCCATTCCTCCTTTTTATTTTTTCTCTTTCTCCATCCTCCTCCTCTCGTCTTCCTCTTCCTGTCCTCTCTTCCTCCATCCTCTTGTCTTCCTCTTCTTGTCCTCTCTTCCTCCATCCTCCTCCTCTTCTTCCTCTTCCTGTCCTCTCTTCCTCCATCCTCTCGTCTTCCTCTTCTTGTCCTCTCTTCCTCCATCCTCCTCCTCTCGTCTTCCTCTTCCTGTCCTCTCTTCCTCCATCCTCTTGTCTTCCTCTTCTTGTCCTCTCTTCCTCCATCCTCCTCCTCTCGTCTTCCTCTTCTTGTCCTCTCTTCCTCCATCCTCCTCCTCTCGTCTTCCTCTTCCTGTCCTCTCTTCCTCCATCCTCTTGTCTTCCTGTTCTTGTCCTCTCTTCCTCCATCCTCCTCCTCTCATCTTCCTCTTCCTGTCCTCTCTCCTCCATCCTCCTCTCGTCTTCCTCTTCCTGTCCTCTCTTCCTCCATCCTCCTCTCATCTTCCTCTTCCTGTTCTCTTCCTCTTTCTTCTTTCTCCTGTCTTTCTCCTATTCCTCTCGTCTTCCTCTTCCTGTCCTCTCTTCCTCATTCGTTCCTCTTCCTTCTTCCTCCATCCTCCCTCTCTTCCTCTTCCTTCCTCTCTCCTTCCTCTCGTCTTCCTCTTCCTGTCCTCTCTCCTCCATCCTCCTCTCGTCTTCCTCTTCCTGTCCTCTCTCCTATATCATCCTCTCGTCTTCCTCTTCCTGTCCTCTCTTCCTCTATCCTCCTCCTCTCGTCTTCCTCTTCCTGTCCTCTCTTCCTCCATCCTCTTGTCTTCCTCTTCCTGTCCTCTCTCCTCCATCCTCCTCTCGTCTTCCTCTTCTTGTCCTCTCTTCCTCCATCCTCCTCCTCTCGTCTTCCTCTTCCTGTCCTCTCTTCCTCCATCCTCTTGTCTTCCTCTTCTTGTCCTCTCTTCCTCCATCCTCCTCCTCTCTCTTCTCCTCTTTTCCTCTTCCTTTCCTCTCTTCCTCCTCCTCTGTCTTCCTCTTCCTCTTCTCTATCTTCCTCTTCCTGTCCTCTCTTCCTCCACCTCTCTCCTCTTCTTTCCTCTCTTCCTCCTCCTCTCTTCCTCTTCCTGTCCTCTCTTCCTCCTCCTCTTGTCTTCCTCTTCTTGTCCTCTCTTCCTCCATCCTCCTCCTCTCGTCTTCCTCTTCTTGTCCTCTCTTCCTCCATCCTCCTCCTCGTCTTCCTCTTCCTGTCCTCTCTTCCTCCATCCTCTTTCTTCCTTTCTTTCCTTCTTCCTCCATCCTCCTCCTCTCATCTTCCTCTTCCTGTCCTCTCTCCTCCATCCTCCTCTCGTCTTCCTCTTCCTGTCCTCTCTTCCTCCATCCTCCTCCTCTTGTCTTCCTCTTCCTGTTCTCTCTCCTCCATCCTCCTCTCGTCTTCCTCTTCCTGTCCTTTCTCCTATATCGTCCTCTCGTCTTCCTCTTCCTGTCCTCTCTTCCTCCATCCTCTCGTCTTCCTCTTCCTGTACTCTCTCCTCATCCTCCTCTCGTCTTCCTCTTCCTGTCCTCTCTCTTCCTCCATCCTCCTTCTCTCATCTTCCTCTTCCTGTCCTCTCTCCTCTATCTCCTCTCGTCTTCCTCTCCCCTCCTCCTCCTTTGTTTCCCTTCCTGTCCTCTCTTCCTCCATCCTCTCGTCTTCCTCTTCCTGTCCTCTCTCCTTATCCTCCTCCTCTCGTCTTCCTCTGCCTGTCCTCTCTTCCTCCACCCTTTCTTCTTTCTTTCCTCTCTTCCTCTATCCTCTCTTGTCTTCCTCTTCCTGTCTCTCTCCTCCATCCTCCTCTCGTCTTCCTCTTCTTGTCCTCTCTTCCTCCATCCTCCTCCTCTCGTCTTCCTCTTCCTGTCCTCTCTTCCTCCATCCTCTTGTCTTCCTCTTCTTGTCCTCTCTTCCTCCATCCTCCTCCTCTCGTCTTCCTCTTCCTGTCCTCTCTCCTCCATCCTCCATCCTCTCGTCTTCCTCTTCCTGTCCTCTCTCCTCCATCCTCCTCTTGTCTTCCTCTTCCTGTCCTCTCTTCCTCCATCCTCTCGTCTTCCTCTTCCTGTCCTCTTCCTCTTCCTTCCTCTCTCCTCTACATCCTCTCGTCTTCCTCTTCCTGTCCTCTCTCCTCTCTCTCTTTCTTCCTCTTCCTTCCTCTCTTCCTCCCTCTTTCCTGTCCTCTCTCCTATATCGTACTCTCGTCTTCCTCTTCTTGTCCTCTCTTCCTCCATCTTCCTCCTCTTGTCTTCCTCTTCCTGTCCTCTCTTCCTCCATCCTCCTCCTCTCGTCTTCCTCTTCCTGTCTTCTTCCTCCATCCTCCTCTCGTCTTCCTCTTCCTGTCCTCTCTTCCTCGTCCTCCTCCTCTCGTCTTCCTCTTCCTGTCCTCTCTCCTCTATCCTCCTCTCGTCTTCCTCTTCTTGTCCTCTCTTCCTCCATCCTCCTCCTCTCGACTTCCTCTTCCTGTCCTCTCTTCCTCGTCTTCCTCCTCTCGTCTTCCTCTTCCTGTCCTCTCCTCCATCTTCCTCCTCTGCTCTCAGTTTGTTGACAGACCTTCAGAGACAAAACCAAAAAGACAGAAACAGAATCTGTCGTGTTTTCTCCTCCTCCTCCTCCCCCTCCTCCTCTGTCTCCTCCTCTCTTCTTCTTCTGAAGTGAAGTTTCCTCTCTCTTGTTCGGGGGCTGTTGTCTCCTTCGCCGCCGTGAAACAACACAGGAGTCAAAACAACAGCGAGCGTCGAAGCACCTTCAAACCAAACAAATCCCTCCTCAGAACCAGACGACACAAAGAACGAAGAGCGAGTCGACTCGTAGATGCAGACAAACGTGTGTGTGTGCGTGTGTGTGTGTGTGTGTGTGTATTTTTGACTGGGCGAATGGGAGTTTCCTGCTGCGTCGATGCTCGCCGTGTGATCCTCTGAAACTTCTGTTGTTTTATTTTGGAGGAGCCGGCTTGCCTTTCTGTCTTCCTCCCCGTCACTCCTTTCGCTCTTGTCTTTCCCGAGCCGCACGGTGAAAAGATGAAAGGTGAGAAAACACGACGGATGTTGAACAGAAACGTCACCTCACCCCCTTCGGCTGGGAGCGGCTCGGCTTTTCAAGACGCAGTCGGAACAAGTGGCGCTACCTTAGCTAACAAGCTGCGTTACTACAAAGCGGAGAGAGACAACAAAAGCTAACGAAATGAAGCAGCAACTAAAATACACAAAACAACAGTTGTTAACTGATTTTGTAAAGAAGCCAGGAAATAAATACATTTAAAAGTGGCTCAAAATGCCAATTTAAAACCTGATGTTACTGCTAACGCGGTCCCCAACAAGAGCCGGTAATTAGGGCTTCTAACCTCAAATGGATTATTTGCTCTCTCCAGATTAAATTCTTTCTGCAGCGCTATCGAGCTTTTTAGCTTCTTTTAGTTCATTCATCAAACAAGTGCTGATAAACCCACCGTACACCACCGGATCACCACCAAGAAGAAGACAGACAGTGTTTTGGATCTTCACAAAGAACCAGCTGGTTCCAGCCAACTGTGAACCCATCGAGACATCATCCATTGGTTTGTGAAGAACCGCTTTGAAGCCTCCAATTCGGCATTTTGGCCGACAGTAAAATGGAGCCAGCGGACGTGACGTACTGCGAGTTGCTCTACTCTCATTGGCTGCTCAGTTTTGACTCCTCCGTAGCCCATAAAGTGGCTGCTCTCCTGCTCAGACAGGATCTGGTATTCCAGATAAACAGTAAAATGTGTTTGTGAACAGATTTGAGGAGAGAAATAGTCAACAACAGAATCTGGATCCATATCTGATCAGCACTGTTTGACAGTTTGATCTGAGTTTGGTTGAGCTGGACGGACTCACTGAGAATGAGCTGTCAATCACAAGGTAGCCCCGCCCTAAAGCATACCCTGCTTTATGGTCTGTTTTACTCTAAATGGGATTATAAAGTTTGATAAACCACATTTTGTATTTTCAAATCACCATAAAACCTCACAGAAGAAGAAGAAAAATGCCAGCAGACTCTGTATTGTGTCTGTTAACTTTATTGTTTTGTTTTTGTTTGTGTGTTTGGTGAAATTACAACTACAGTAACCGTACGAATTCACTACAGGTGAAAAATCAGCATATTGTATACAGAATAAATAATCTTTCTCTCTCCTCCTTCCTCCAGGTGATGAGTGGTACCTGTGCAGGTTGACTCTGAGCATGCCCAGCCAGGCAGACCTGCAGTGGGCCATGTTCCCCTCGCCTTACCTGGGCGCCGTCGGTCCTGACGCCACATCCGGCTCTGTCGTGTACCGGCTGTCGGCACGGCAACGAGACGGGGCACTCGGACACCCCCAGTTCCTCCTATTGGACGGTGAGCTGTGACTTTTTCACCTTTTATTGCTCAGGGTTGTTGTTTTATTCCCCAATGAACCGCAGTTTTAAAGGCCGCAACGTGATCAGAAAGTGGATATATGAGGTAATCCCTGTAGGGCGAATGTGATCTGATGTTCCACTGCAGGTAAAAAGCCTATTTTTCTCATGAAATATGCACAAAAAAGATTTAGAGATGTTTTAGCATCCAGAAGTACAAATGATCCACAACCGCAACCAAACCTTCTTCCTATTCCCGTCACAACCTGTCAAGTGTTTTGCTCCCGCTCTTATCTCCCGCCTGTATCTGTAATTAGGTCCGCCGTCGCTCCGCCAGGCACTTCTGTGACAAAACCTGTTTTTGTTCAAAGCAGCGATTTATAAATAAAAATTTGACTTGTTGAATTTCAATTACCATCAAGTGGGAGAGGGAGAGAAAAACGCACATAAACGGCATGGAGCTGCACTGTTAATCGCTCCCTGGGGCGAAGAAAGCTCCCAGATTCGGGAATAATAGGAAAGTCTCTGGAGAGGCAGCGAGTGGGAGGGTGGGCGGATGGGCGCCGGTGGCTGTGGATTTTCTTATTTTTTATATTAATTTAGAGAAGAAGAGGAGAACGAAAGGAGCAGGAGAGATATTTTGAGAGCTAATTTCTAATGCTTTCACATTAAAAGCTTCTAACTTCCCTTTGGCGCAATGTGACTACATGTGTACCAACGAATAATCCAATAATTTACATTAAAAATGTTTTTTAATATCATGCCAATATGGAAATATATTCATGCAGTGTGTGTGTGTGTGTGTGTGTGTGTGTGTGTGTGTGGAGCCAATTAGTGGCATTAATGTGATTTCACTCAGTTTTTCGTTAGCGGGTCAGCTGGAGTGAAAGTTTGTTCATCCATTGAGTTTGTTGTGCAAGTAAACTTATTTCATATATTTAATTAATGCTTAATTACAAAAGGAAGCAGAAAGAAAACTCTTTATTATGATGAACGAGTGAGATAATTCAGAAACAAACAGAAACTCAGATGTCAGAAAAATGTCTCCCACAAATAGACGGAGGAAGAGGAGGAGATGATTGACAGGTTGGATGCAGCTGCTGCTGGTTCGAAACCCTCTGGTCAACAGCTGGGGACTCCTCATCCAGCCTTCCTCCCTCTCTTCTTACTTATATTCCACTTCCTTCACCTCTTTTTATGCATTTTCCTCCCTTCTCTGTCTGTAAACGGCTCTATTTTCTCTAACGATGCTTCTAATTTTGGTTATTTGTCGCTAACAATCAAATTGCTGCTTCATGTGTTTCTGTCAGTGGAGTTTTGTCTCAGTTTATTGTTTCTTCCAAAGGTTTAAAAAGGTTCAGGGCTGACAGCTAACAGCAGCTACATTAGCAGTTAGCGGAGGACGTCAGAGGGAAAACCAGAAATATTCTCTCCATCAAATATGATCCAGTTTCACCCAAATCACTTGGTTGTTATAACTGTACTTTTTTACTACAGGACGATGAGATATCGTCTTACTGTGTATATTTTTAAAGTTTTCTTACATGCCTTAAAATCAAGAAGGCCTCGCGACCCCCCGTAAAGCTTTACATTAGACCTCTAATGTTTACAGTTTACTGACATTTAAATCCCGATAAACTTATATTGTTCTAAATTTTGACAGTTGTCTGAGTGTTTTCTAACTTCTAACTCTAAATTTAACATTTTCGATTAATCGTTGGCGAAATCAGTCGCCAGGAACGCCCCTGAACCCCCCTTTGTTCATTCTTCTTCTGTGTTCTCCGACTGTCCAGGTGGGGAGGAGTGCTTCGAGGTGGATCGTCGCTCTGGTGACATCAGGACCACAGGACGACCTCTGACCCCGAGTAAGGAGTACCTGCTGCGGGTGCAGGCGGTGGACGGGCGCGGTCGGAAAGGCCCGCCGGCTACGGTGGCCATCCTGGCCGGCTACCGGCCGCCGCAGTTCACCAACTCCACCTACAGCCTGAGCGTACCTGAGAACACACCTGTCGGCCAACCGTGAGTCACTGAAGGTTTTTAATGATCAGAAGAAATAGAAAATAGCATCTGGTATTGATAACAACAAATAATAGTTTATTCCTCTAACGCTGTTTTATAAAACCATTCACTTTTAAAAACACGTTTCGATACCAGTTGTGGCTCCCCGATACGGACGCTGATATCTGATCTGATACATGTGCGTTGTATACATTGTATAAATAGTTCCTAAAATATCAATGAAACTGATCAAAATGAATCAATATCTCTAATTTTACACAAACTTCCTGCAGTTATTGTGTTCAGTATTTACAGTTTATCATCTGTCTCTTATTGTTATGCTAAAATGTTAAAATAAGTCGTATTGTGTGTTTTCTGCACAGTATTGATATTAAGTATTGATAACGGTACCTCTGCTTCTGGTGATCATCTGTAGATTAATATCATAGTAACAGTAGTTTTATGTGTCTGTAGCTCTCTGTTTGTGTCTTTGTCCTCCATATTTACATCATTTACATTCCTCAGATAGCGAGGTGTGTGTGTGTGTGTGTGTGTGTGTGTGTGTGTGTGTGTGTGTGTGTGAAAAGATGAGCCCTGTAGAGCGAGACAAAAGAAGAAGGAAGGAGGAGGATGAAGAGAGAGATGGAGGGATGAGGAGAGAGATAGAATAAGGGATGGGAAGGGAGGAAGAGGAGGAGGAGAGGAAAAGGATGGAGGGATGAGAGGAAGAGGAGGAGGAGAGGGGGATGGATGAAGAGGACCCAGATGTATGAGTGTGGCCTGAGGCTGAGAATTTGAAAGTGTGGCAAATTCAAATATTTATTAAAAGCGAGGTCTGGATAAACATGAAGGGGTGTGTGTGTGTGTGTGTGTGTGTGTGTGTGTGTGTGTGTGTGTGTGTGAGTGAATCCCTCCGGGCTGCTGGTGCACAAGCACATTGTATTAATATCCAAGTATCCATGCCACCCTGTGTGAGCAGTGTGTGTGTGTCTCTGCTTCCATTATATTCCCCTTTATGTGTGTTTATGTCCTCCAGTGTGTACCTACTCTCTCTCTCTGTGTGTGTGTGTGTGTGTGTCTGTGTGTGTGTGTGTGTGTGTGTGTGTTTTAGTCAAATTGATTACCCAGGTTTTGCGACGGTCTCTGAGTGCAGAATAATCCATGCAGCCTTTGAACGCAGCTCGACCAGCGCGTCACGCAGCTCCTCTTTCCTTTAAAGAGTCTGAATGTAGAGCAGCTTTCTGCTGACCTGTGGTCACGTTTACACAGCTGACTGAGTTTGAACCATTAACTTTATATATAATAACTGTATAATAACTGTATATATAATAACTGTATATATAATGAAGTATATATAACTGTATATATAATAACTGTATATAATGAAACTTATAATAATGTATATATAATAATTATATATAACTGTATATATAATAACTGTATATATGACAGTATATATATAATAACTGTATATATAATGACTGTATATATAATAACTGTATATATGACAGTATATATAATAACTGTATATATAATAACTGTATATATAATGACAGTATATATAATAACTGTATATATAATGACAGTATATATAACTGTATATATAATAACTGTATATATAATGACAGTATATATAATAACTGTATATATAATGACAGTATATATAATAACTGTATATATAATGACAGTATATATAATAACAGTATATATAATAACTGTATATATAATAACTGTATATATAATGACAGTATATATAATAAGTGTATATATGACAGTATATATAATAACTGTATATATATAATAGTAGAATATAGCTGTAATAAGAGATCCTGTGTGACTAGGCGAGCCGCCTACGGACGAATCAAAGCAGCCAATGAGAGCAGAACATTTTTTAAGGATTTACAGTTACAGTTAGATTAATGATCAGTGTCCCTCCGGTCTCTCTCTCTCTGTCCGTGCAGCGTCTCAGTGGTTCAGGCCGTCTCCTTCCAGAAGAAGAGTCTGTCCTACATGCTGTTGGTGAATCCTGGGAATCTGTTCAGCATCAACCAGGAGAGCGGAGCGCTCAGCCTCACCAGGACCGTCGACTACGAGAGCGGACACAACCTCCACACCCTGCAGGTCCGCGCCTCCGAGCCTGACACCGGCCTCAGCGGCGTGGCAGAGGTACGAACACAGAACGCTTACGTACACGTGTGGACATCGGGTTTAACTGCTGCACGCTTGTTTGTCACAGGTCAGGTTTTCACTGCTGCTGATCGGTCGGGAGGATTTTAAAGTGTTTTTATCACATATGTCTCGTGCTGTACGTCACCTAAACGTCCAGTATCTGACCAAAAAACTCATTTTTCAGGTGTTCTTCATCATATTTTAGATGAAAATGATAAAAAGTTGACTCATCCTGCACTTGGGGGCGTCCAATGAAATGCTTTCTCTCTTTTGAAGCCATAACTGCACAAAAGCTCAACTTTATAACTGTATTCAGTGATTTTATTTATATTATATCCTCTGACATC